AGGACCTGGTTTACGCTGTTTCATCACTGATTATTAGATGATGATCTTCTGATTCACAAATGTGGTCAATATTACCATCCATGTGGAAAAGACATAATTTCTCTGACTTTTTAAAAGAACCATTAAAAACTGTCTTCCTTCTTTGTTTCCAGGTTTATTACTGTAACACAGAGAACTTTTCTCATTTGAATCAGCTCTAAGCATAATTAAATCTGGATTTGGTGCAACAGTAATTAACTTTACTTATATTTACTGTTGTTATGAAAAAAATGTAATTTTGTTGCTTGCTCACCACATAAACTGAGGAAATAGAGTGCACCAATATTTTCAATGAAGTTCCTTTCTTTCATCAGGAAATAGCCTTTTACGAAGCTCTTATTTCTTCAAGTATTTGCATCCTGTATTTCCACTCTTCCTCATTAAACAACTCATTCTTAGCAATAGGTCTTTCTCTCTCATAATAGCACATGTTCTAAAGGGAGAGGGATATAGTTTTTACCTCAGAATATTGCTTCAAGACCTACTTTTCAACAGTGCTAAGTTACACTGTATCCTCTCGATGGTCTTGTGACAGCTCATACCAAAACAAAATGGTCAGATCTTTCTTTCCCCATCTCGTCTTTTAAACCTTAAAATGTCAATAAAAGAACCATTTAATCTTAAAGTTGGGATATAAACGGTCTAAATAATTGAAAAAAGCAAAGAACTATTTAGAATTCTCATGTTGTACTTGTGAATTTTTCTGTTGTATATTTTGAGAATTTCCCCTCCAATGAAAAGAATTCTTGAATATCTTGTTTGCTGAATATATTCATCCATACTTCTCTCTGAAACTCTAACAAATATCCCAGAGACTTTCTGAGAAATGCATTAACAATAGCATTCTTTTTTTTAAATGGGGGGCACTGTTAATTCTTAAAACATGGAACCCACCTTACAACATGGTACCCACTTTTCATCTTCAGGAAAAGCAGTTGACCCTTTTAATTCAAATCCAGAATTGTCAGCCTCCATTTTCTGCTTTGTAATTGATGGGTCATCTAGCCATTTGAATCAGATAACTTCCAAAAATAGTTAGCAAGGGAAATACACAACTTAATGGCTACAAAGGGCTATAATATGTAGTTATAGGGAAATGGTGAATTCCTCCTTCCTCCCACCACCAAAAATTGCTGTATTGCAATCTCTTTGTGAGTTAAAGGGATGACCATAAGGAGAAACAGCTTGGGAAATATCCAGTAATTCTCTTTAATTCAGAGAAAATGGAGTCCATCTGCTTTAGCTTCCTTGTACAAGCCTGCCAATCATCAGCTCTGCTTGTCTTTAGAACTATATTCAGTCAGCCATTTCCCCCTGGAAGTATAATTAATATTTAGAACTTCAGTTGATAACCCAGAGAACAGAAGTTTTATCAAGTTGACAACCAAAAGATGATCTTATCTACTTGTTAACTACTTTTTGGAAGTTACATATTAATGGATTTAAAATATAGACACTTTCAGAATGACAAGATTGGAAACCCTGAGTGAATGTTTTTAATCTTCAATATAAAAATATGAAAATTTATAATTCCTAAGAACTTAAAATATAACAGCAAAAAGTAAGAAAAGGTTTAGCTACCAAAAGTTCTAGGGGTTAAAAAGCTTTGACTTCAAATATTAAGATTTTGACACTATTTTTCAATAAAATAAATGTAAGTTTGTGAGAAAGAAAAGTGAGTTTGAAGTCAAGTAATTTATAATAGTGTTTTAAGACATCTTTGAAGAATTGTGTTGATATCTGCTTCAAGAAATGGAAATTTTCATCTAGAGAACAGTCTGTTACCGAATAAAGATATCAGAACAAGATACTCAGGAAAATGTACATAAGAAGAATATAAACATTTTGAATAAAAATCTGTTGCTAGGTACATTGGATGAGGTTTTAAAAATCAAAAAATAAAAATGAGAATCCCAGAAAATAATTGGAATAATTTCCTTTTATTAGATTTACAAAAGAGATTGTTTAAGGTGCTAAAGAAATTTATAATAAGGATTATTAACCATCTGAATGGATTGCATAGAAAGACTCTTTTATTGAAAAGAAAAAAAAGATTGTAACTGGTTTATTCAATCGGATTAATGGTATACATTATTCTAGGTGATTCTTTTGGGGATTTTTTGATATCTTATTGCCTAAAAAGATATGTTATAATTTTTTTCATATAATTAGTTTATGTGGTTCTAATTTTATTGTGCTTAATCTGGTTTATATTTAATAGTTTTTCTTTAGTTAGGAAAATTGGAGAAATTATTTCTTTTTGCTATAACGTGTGTGTGTGTGTCACTATTAGGATATAGGGATTACATTATACTGGTGAAATGTGGTGCCTATAGAGTGGAGACATGGAATGTGTATGTCTTGATGAGGTGAAGTCCACTGTGTATGTGTCTATCTTGTTCAGAGGTGGCATTGGGTAATTCCATGTATGTAGTTGCTGCAAGGTTACCCAAGATATGATGGTTATCCCAGCTGTCCAGGAATGTATATTGAGCAGCAATGATATAGGAAGGTGCTCAAGGTGGGTTATCATTTTAATAACAACAGGAAAGGCATCCTGTTATGGGAGAGGACTGTGTAAACTATTACCGTATTTTACAAAAAATAAAAATAAAAATAAACATGGTAAAGCAATTGATCATGACAAGGAGTTGGATGATACTCAACATGTTGCTGAGCAAGAGCCTTCGTTCTTTCATATTACATATGTTGTTTATGGTATGGCTAGATTAAAGCCTTTAGGACATCTGGTTGCTGATGTTGCCATGAAGAAACAGGTAATCCTAAGCAAAGACAGAATTAAGTGGGAACATGGAATGTTAATAGCATGAACATAGCAAAACTCCACATAGTGAAAAATGAAGTGAAGCAACTATATACAGTGTCTTAGATATCAGCAAATTGAAATGGATTGGAATAAGAATTAAATTTTGTTATCATTATGTGCTATCAAGTAAGGATCAATTTAGTGACTACATAGACAGATTTTCTCCATGTCCACTTATTTCCAACTTTAATCCTTCAGATTTTCCAACTATACATCTGTGTCTACTGTAATTAAATCCTTTCACTTCCTTGTCGGTGTACTCTTCTTTTTGCTTCTACATTTCCTAGCACTATAGACTTTTCAAAGAGATAGGTCTTTGCATTATGTATCCCAAATAATAATTTAAATCTGGTCATTTATGTCTGAAGTGAGAATTCTGGGTTGAATTAATAATAGGTCCTTTGGGTTTTTTTTTCTTGTTACCCATGATATTCTCATGAATGAATTCCAATACTAAAGCCTCTATACAGGTAATCCTCAACTTACGACTACAATTGAGTCCCAAAATTTAGGTTGCTAGATGAAATGTTGTGAGTTTTGCCCCATTTTATGACTTTCTTGCCAAAGTTGTTAAGTGAATCATTGCAGTTGTTAAGTTAGTAACACGATTTGTTAAGTGAACTTGGCTCCCATTGACTTTGCTTATCAGAAGGTTACAAAAGCTGATCACATGATCCCAGGACACTGCAACCATCATAAATATGAACCAGTTACCAAGCAAATGACCGTGGGATACTGCAACAGTCGTAAGTTTGAAAAATGATCATAAGTCAGTTTTTTCACTGCTATTGTAACTGTGAACAGTCACTAAATGAACTGTTGTAAGTTGAGGACTGCTGTACTCGTTTCATTCCTCTTCTTCAAAGTTCAGCTTTTGTTTCAGGTGAATGTCACAGGAAAGTCATTGCCTGCTCAATTCTTGTAGGCATAGACTTACTCTAATATCTTAGTATCTTTTTTTCAAGTGCTTTATAGCCTATATCAATAAAGTAGAGTTCTAGCATTTATTGGTAGTGTGTCTTTTCTCACCTGTTTTACATCATAGGACTGACAACAATCTTGAAAGACTGATAGCATTTCATTTTCTCACTATCTTATATCAAAAAACCCCAGACCAAATTTCTTCCTCATTCCTTCCTATCTTTTGGGGCTAAGTTCACATTTTCCTAATGGTTGCTGTGTATCCTCAAGGATATTTCAGTCTTTGCAAATTGTTACAGTTTATTAAATTTCTTGTGTATAATTAATTTTATTTACTATTTGAGGTTCACTTGAAAGCTATATAAACTACGGCATTACCTAAGAAAATCTCTTAAATCCTCCAAACTATCTTAGAAAGAAATAATTAGAAAGAAATTAATTTGCAATTAATACAAAATTGTGAATTTTTCATCTAGATCATGATTTGTATAATTAGCAAATCTGTAGCAAATATAAGTATTTAATTTTTATTTAACTTGGATTAATAATAGAAATGTTCAGAAGTCCAATTTATCATATTTAATTGTAAGGAAGAATACCATAGGAATTAAAATCTTCACTTTTTTGTTATATATTTCATAAATATTTTGACCTGGAATATATGCTTAATGAGAATGATAACTAAGGAGGAGCTATAGTATGATGTTATATGTTGGGTTACATTTCAGTATATTTGATGAACTATAGGCAAATACATTAAACAGGAAGAATGCTTATATCAGTGATATTTTATTGATTGAGTTATTTCACTATCAACTTTACACTTATATATAGATATGATGAATATAAAATGAAAATAATTGCATTTTGTACAGTAAAAAGTTAATTCAATTGCTTCCTTATAGGAGCTCCTTAAAGCTTTGGATTTCCTGACTACAAGATACTATATTTCATTTATTTTGGTAGCATTGGCTAATATGCAACAGATTTTGTTGTTCTGTGAATTAAGCCTTTTATAATTCTGAATTCAGTTGATAGAGGGTTACTGATCAAATAACAAACCATCCAGAACATTGAATCATCAAGCATTAAATATCTCTGGTATAATCTTATTAGATTCAGTAATCATATTTGGCCTTCATGATACTTGTTAAAGGTTACAATTATGAGTGCATAAACATTGATATACTTTTTCTTTTTTTATATTATGCAGCCAACAAGTCCCAAATTTGGAAAAGCTGATTCTTATGAAAAACTGGAAAAACTGGGTGAAGGTTCATATGCTACAGTGTACAAAGGGAAAAGCAAGTAAGTATATTTGTAACATTCACATGTTTAAGATTTTGTCAAATAAAATTTTTAGAAAAATAATTTTAATGTAGATATTAAAGTAACATTTCAATAAAAATATTAATAACTTTGTGACTGTTCTGACCCAGCCCTTGCAAATAATGAGAAACTGCTTACTTGTGAGTAAACAAATCCCTTTTATTAAACCAGACAGGAACAATCTTTGTTCATGTTGGGTAGACAAAACCAAAGCAAGTAGTCCCAAAGGAAAGTTTTTTCCCCTTCTGAAACAGGACAAGAACTGTCTCTGTTTACATGAAGCAAATGCACTGTCTATTAGTTCCCAGTAGAGAGACACAGTTGGCACCTCAAATACAGAGCAAGTAGTCCTGACCAACCTGGATCTTGGCAAAGGAATCTGACTTGATCGATGTGTCTGGGAAAACGAATGATTGTCTGCAACAACAGGTTGCTCCCAAACTCCTACTATTTATTTCCCAGCCAGGGAGGTGCTGGCTAACGTCTCCTTCTTCTTTCCTCTGAGAGCCGGCTTATTGCCTTCTGTTGCTTTCCTTTCCTCTCTACGTATACACGCATCTGGGATGGGCCCCATCTGTTCCTTCTCCTCACCATCTCAGGCCCCGAAGACAGGTGCCTCTCCAGCTGTGTGCAGAAAGATGGCCCTGGCTCTGCATCTGCCTCTGCCTCATCAGAGCCTTCTAACGGTTCCGATGTTGATCCAGGCTCCCCCTCCCCCTCCTCCTCCTCATCTGACTCTGCTGGCAGCTGACGGACCACAACAGTGACTTGGAGGTGGCACAGTATTAAAGTAAAACTTCATATTTAATTTATATATATATATATATATATATATATATATATATATATATATATATATATATATATATATCTATATCTATATCTATATCTATATCTATCTATCTATCTATCTATATATATATATATATATATATATATGTCAGTCAAATAGTAATGATCACCAAGAGAGTATCTATAAAAATAGAATTTTAATCCACCGAGCTTTCGTCAAACACAATTGACATCGTCAGGGTTAAAAGGTAAGTGCCGGGGGAGAGTCTTATATACAGCTGTTTAGTGTCTGCTTCCGGCTCCTGGAGCGTATCATAGGCCCCAGCTGATCGGGTTGGGTCTCCAGCCTACATCCCACATTACTAGTCTGCATTCTGTCATAAGTTGTTTCAGAGTTGGGAGTCCAGATCTTTTTGCCTTCCTTGCTCATAGCCTCCCCCCCACCACCATCCCACACACGACTTCCCTCTACGAGTGGGGGTGGGCAATTATCACTTTCAGTATCCTTACAAGCCTCACGGCTATTTTGGTCTTGTTTATCCGTCTCCCGGAATTGTGCCCTAGATTCATAACCCCCGCCCATATTGTTCCTCCTCCCCTCCTTCTTCCCCTGGGTTCCCCTGTACGGTCCGCTGTTCGTTCCCACACGCTCTGTCTTGCGCACCGTCAAGATATCACAAAAAGAGGCCGCTTATTAAAAGAGGCATGGTTCTCAGAAACTGAATCCATCAATAGGCGTGTGGATTTGTGTGCAGCACACCAGGCTCTGAAAATATGGAATGCTGGTAGCCGCATTAACCGGGAGAGGGGACTTAATTCAAAGACTTACTATCCAGAAGACATCGCTCGACCCCCCTCCTCATATAATCACTTTAATGCAGCCCCCACTGATGGCCCCCCCTTCTTGGAACAACTACAGACCAGTCCTGGCAGACAACTGCGGACGGATTCGCCACGATCCGTAGAGAACGGAACAGCATGGAGATGGAATGGAAATGGATGGGGATTCGAGAAACTGGAAGAAAAACGGAATACAACCAGGTCCGGTAGAGATGAGGAGAACGACGATGAACCCCCCCAGGAGGAGGCTACCAGACACAGCATGACAACTCGATCGCAATCCAGCAGGAGAATGCACCCCCCTTCGACACCCCCAGCGCAAAGTTATGGGATGAAACAGCGACTACAATTAAAGGGGAAGAGCACCGTATGGAGTGGGAATGGAGAACCAAGGACGGACGGTAACGTTGCCCACCGACAACGGATGGAACAACGAGCCACTGACAATAGGACAATGACAAAAAACATCTTGACGGTGCGCAAGACAGAGCGTGTGGGAACGAACAGCGGACCGTACAGGGGAACCCAGGGGAAGGAGGGGAGGAGGAACAATATGGGCGAGGGTTATGAATCTAGGGCACAATTCCGGGAGACGGATAAACAAGACCAAAATAGCCGTGAGGCTTGTAAGGATACTGAAAGTGATAATTGCCCACCCCCACTCGTAGAGGGAAGTCGTGTGTGGGATGGTGGTGGGGGGGAGGCTATGAGCAAGGAAGGCAAAAAGATCTGGACTCCCAACTCTGAAACAACTTATGACAGAATGCAGACTAGTAATGTGGGATGTAGGCTGGAGACCCAACCCGATCAGCTGGGGCCTATGACACGCTCCAGGAGCCGGAAGCAGACACTAAACAGCTGTATATAAGACTCTCCCCCGGCACTTACCTTTTAACCCTGACGATGTCAATTGTGTTTGACGAAAGCTCGGTGGATTAAAATTCTATTTTTATAGATACTCTCTTGGTGATCATTACTATTTGACTAACATGAATATTCCCAAGAGTCATGTTTTTGTTTTTATTTCCAATCATATATATATATATATATATATATATATATATATATATATATATATATATATATATATATATATATATATATCTCGGGTATACTGACTTCCTGTTCCGGATCGTGGCGCTTGCAGCTGTACAAAGAGACTGCTCTCTTCGCCAGCTGATTCTCTGCTGCTGGTAGACCCTTAATCGGGTCGAAAAGCTGCCCTGGATGGGCGGCTACCGTTGAAGTCCTTGTCGTCTGTGGGAAAACGATAGCTTCTTCCACGGCCCGAGATTTCTCCTTTGGGCCGATAGTGGAAAGATCGGCCAGTAAAATGGCCGTTCACTTTGCCACTGTAACCAGAAGTCAGAAGAACATCTAAGCGCAGGAACCACCGTGGCTGAGCTAGGTGAGACTTTTTTTTCCCCTCTCTTGATTCTCCTTTTTCTTTTGTGTCTGTAAAAAGCACTTTTTTCCCTCTATAAGAAAGCGGCGTTTGTGAGTGTGGGAAAAGAAGCTTAAAAGGACTGAATTAATTTAAAGTGATTTTTTTTCTATTTCTATTTTTTATTCACTTTGGGGTCTTGGAAAAAAATTTTAATATTGAATTTACTACTGGACTTAGTGTACATCTGAAGAATTCTCCCTTTTTGTGTGTTTTCTGATCTTGTTAACGTTATTTTTGGTGTCTGGGAGGAGATTTTATATTTTACTGAGGACACTTTGTGGAAAAAGTCAAAATTGCAACTGTTTCTTTTTCTGATGGTGAGACTGACTTTGACCTTCAGATTACCATAAAAGGGAAAAGACAAAGAAACTTAACAGCTATATTTGTGGGGGTGGATACTGATTAAATGTTCCTTGAACATAGCCTCTACTAAAAGATACAGACTGTTTCTAGTTATTTTTGAAATGGAGAAACCCTATGTTCAACTTGACTATAAACTCATACTGGAAAAACTTTATGAAGCTACTGATCAAATACGTTCGCAAATAAAAAAGTGTACTATAGCAATAAAAAAACAGAAATTCTGCTTTGAATCTACAAATTAACCCCCAGACTCTATCTGAGCATTCTATAGACCAAAAAACAACAGAAGCGGAACTAACTAACCTTAAAGAAGATTCTACTTTACTTCATACATATTCTGATGAGATCTCTGAGGAACCAAAAAGGACTGTAATTAAACCACTTACAATTCCAAAACTAACAGAAATGGATAGACAAGCTCAACTAACCGAGAACTATGGTAGCTTGGATAAGCAACTATCAACTACAAAGTGGGATATAACTGAGTCTGTTATTCAACAGTTTCAAATGTGGAGAATTGACTCTTTAAAACAACAAGGGATTATTTACAAAGGAGCTAGGTCTCTAAAACAGAAAAGGGGACACTTTTGTTTGATCCAAAGGATACTACAAGGCACAAAAAGTAACTTGTTCATTGATATAGAGGTGTTGCTATAGAAACCTGTCTGGAATAAAAAGAAAGCTAGAATAAGATGTAAGAGTGACTCAAGGCTCTATATAATGGGTTTAAAAGGCTTATTAGATATGGATTGATTTATGATTTAAGGCAGTTAAATAAGATGTTAGATTGAATAACCCCTTTATGGATTACTGCCTTGCCGTGGCGAAGGGCCTTGCGTAACTCAATTAAGCTATAAGCTATGCCGTGCAGGGCCACCCAAGATGGACAGGTTATAGCAGAGAGTTCTGACAAAATGTGATCTACGGGAGAAGGAAATGGCAAACCACTCCAGTATCTTTGCCATGAAAACCCCATAGACAGTACTAAAGGGCAAAAAGATATGACGCTGGAAGATGAGCCCCTCAGGTCGGAAGGTGTCAAATATGCTACTGGGGAAGAGCAGAGGGCTAGTACTAGTAGCGCCAGAAAGAATGAAGCGACTGGGCCAAAGCCGAAAGGACGCTCAGCTGTGGATATATCTGGTGGTGAAAGGAAAGTCCGATGCTGTAAAGATTTTTTCCCCATAGGAACCTGGAATGTAAGATCCATGAATCAAGGCAAGCTAGACGTAGTCAAAAAAGAGATGACAAGAATGAACATCGACATCTTAGGAATCAGCGAACTAAAATGGACAGGAATGGGTGAATTTAACTCAGATGACCATCAGGTGTAAATACTACTGTGGGCAAGAATCCCTCAGAAGAAATGGAGTAGCCTTCATAGTCGATAAAAGAACAGGAAAAGCAATACTGGGATACAATCCCCAAAATGACAGAATGATCTCAATTCGAATCCAAGGCAAACCATTCAATATCACAATAGTCCAAATCTATGCCCCAACCACTGATGCTGAAGAGGATGAAATTGACCAGTTTT